GCTTTTGTCTGATATGGAAAAAAGAGAAGGCCTGGCATCACATTTGGTTACTTTGTAGGAATATAGCATCATAAGCAGATCTGGGCTCCAACACTTACCAGGTAAATTTTATAGCCTCAAGTTTATCTATTTTAAGGTATCATATTTTCAGACTATGACCTGATGGTTACAACTCATCATGTAGGCATTACTATATAGAAGATAACTAATAGGATAAATTCCCCGTACGAAAAAAAAAAAAGCTATTAATTAACTAATTTAACATACATTTAATGAGTCCTGACTGTGCACCAGGCATCGATCCTGACACTGGGGTTAAGATGACTGAAACATGGCCCCTGTTTTGGAGGATATTACATTCCATTGAAGGGGATCAAGCTGTAGCCGAGTAATTAGTGCAGTAGGATAAATAGAACAAGATAGGCATGTACAAAGGGCCGCAGGAACATAAAGGAAGGACCAACCAACTTTGTTTGGACAAGCTCAGCAAAGCTTCGCAGACGTAGTGACAACTTAGGAGGCCTTCTGAAGTGTCAACAGGATTTCAGGAGCTGGGTGAATCCTCTGTGGGGCATCCAAAACCTCTGACAAGCACATGGCATGCATAGGGTATCCAGTTTCATGGGATTGGCGAGCATGAGGGAGGCTAAAAAAGGGGGGGTATTTTAAAAAAAAAAAAAAAAAAAAAAAAAAAAAAAAAAAAAAAAAAAGGAAACTGACAGCTCAGCATAGTCCCGGGGAGAAATAAAAATTCCTTCTGCTGTTCTATCAGGCCATGGAACATGGCTTTTGTCTGATATGGAAAAAAGAGAAGGCCTGGCATCACATTTGGTTACTTTGTATGAATATAGCATCATAAGCAGATACACTTACCAGGTAAATTTTATAGCCTCAAGTTTATCTATTTTAAGGTATCATATTTTCAGACTATGACCTGATGGTTACAACTCATCATGTAGGCATTACTATATAGAAGATAACTAATAGGACAAATTCCCCGTAGGAAAAAAAAAGCTATTAATTAATTAATTTAACATACATTTAATGAGTCCTGACTGTGCACCAGGCATCAATCCTGACACTGGGGTTAAGATGACTGGAACATGGCCCCTGTTTTGGAGGATATTACATTCC